CCAGTGGCTTAATGAGTGGCTGGAGGCTGATTCTTTTGTTCTTCTCAGTTGGTCACACGTCATGTTGCAAAATGGCTGCTGCAGCACCTCAGAACATCACGTGAGGTCAAAACGAGAGGAAGAGGATAGGCTGTATCTGCAGTATGATCGCCTCCTTATGAGAAAAGATCTCTCAGAATCTACCAGTAGACTCTTATTTGTCTCATCGGCCACAGCAGCGACACAGACTCAAATCTAGCTCTAAGAGGAGCTGAGAAGACAGTTTTCCCAATTCCTATCATGGTGGTGGTGAAGTGGAAAGGGAATGCAAATACATTTGTTGGGTTAGCCAGTGAACAGTGGCGCTGACCAAAGGAACTGGAAGTTTAGGCTGGCAGATCAACTAATTCTGGAGGCAGACTCCTCCAGTTAAGACTTAATAACTCCATGGTAACTTTCATGTATCACACTTGAGCAGACTTCAGCTATGATGTGACCCATGCTAATAAAAGTCTGATTACAATTAGACTGTATATATGATATTACTTAAAGTTAATACTCATTCTCACCAGTATCTACTACCATAAAGCACCCACTGGCTCTCACGTACTGAACATACATGGGCTGCACTGTTTTGCATAAAGACAGTTCTCTTTCCTGTGAAGGGTGAAAATACCGGAGTGGCAAGAGAGGCGTGGCCTAACTGGAGACTGTGGTTAAAGCCATGGTCATGATTTTATCCATAGTGGTTATCTGCCGAAAACCTACCTATACCTTACTACATGTTGGCATATCTAAATCTTCACTCATGTTCACTGATTTTACTTCAAAAATGTATTTTTTAAGCTTCTTCACTGCAAGAGAAACCACAACAGAGCTAAGAGACAAGAAAAATTTTTTACCAGCTGCTCCCCAGACAAAGGTGTACTATCTAGAATATATAAAGAATGCAAAAAATAAAAATCAGGCCCCCCAAATATAAAGACCCAATTCAAAAATGGGCATCTGAAATGAACAGACACTTTTCAAAGAAAAGCAGCCAAAAAATGTATGAAAAAATGTTCCACATCACTGGTCATTTGAGAGATGCAGATGTAAACAACACCGAGATTCTACCTCACCCCAGAAAGAATGGCTGCTATCAAGAAATCAACTAATAACAAATGTTGGTGGGACTGTGGGGAGAAAGGAACCCTTCTTCATTGTTGGTGGGAGTGCAGACTGGTGCAGCCACTGTGGAAAATGGAGGTACCTTAAACAACTAGGATTAGAGGTCCCATTTGACCCAGCTATTCCCCTGCTGGGTATCTTTCCAAAAGATTAAAAGAATCATACCATAGTGACATATGCTCACCCATGTTCACAGCGGCAATTTGTAATAGCTAAAACTTAGAAACAGCCCAATTGCCCATCAACTGGAGACTGGATAAAGAAGATGTGGTTTTTAAATAAAATGAAGTACTACTCAGCCATAAAGAATGAAAAACTAGACATTTATAGCTAAATGGATGCACAATGAGACCATACTCAAGTGAAATAAATAGGACAAACATCTGAAGTTTCTTTGGTGTGAAAAAATGTGTAAAGTTCAAATTGTGTAACTGATAATGTGAAATAGGAAGAAAAGGGCTAAAGGAGGAGGAAAAGTGGGAAGGGTAGAGGAAAGAAGGGAAAAGCAAATATGAGAAAAGCAAAAAATGGAAACAAAGTCTATGTAAATAGGGAAAGGTGGAGGGGGTGGAGGGGGTGGCAGGAGGGCAGGGATATGGGGAATAAATAAGAACCAAGATACATCATGTATAGCTACAAGATCCCAATGATGAATGTAACTGTATTGACTGTATACCTAAAATGTACCAATAAAAATATACTAAAATATATAAAATGAAAAATGCTTTTTTAAAAAAATGGGAGAATAATTTAGCTTTTGTAATCAGTGGCTTCACTTGATGGTGGTAATAGCGTCTGATCAAGCACAGGTTGTGACAAATTCTTACTAAGTACAGTCTAAAATGTTATTCAAATATATCAGAAAAAAAGATGGCTTAATGTTCAAAAGACAATATGAATTGTTTAAAAGTAACAGTCTTTAAGATTAAAAACAAATGAACTGTTCAGGAAAAGCACAGGTTTTACTCCTGAGTCCAAACAGAATTTCTTCCTTTGGGTTCTCACAAAGGGATTTGTGTGATTTAGCAGCTGTCAATCTTAAAAACATATGCATTGAAAATTTAAGTTTCAATGATTGTTTCTGCTATTCAAAGTCAAGGGCACAAAACACAAAGCAGAATGTGGTAAAGGTAAAGCTATGAGCAGGAATGTGCTTCAATATGTACCTTTCTGCAGATCACCCAAGATGAAACTGAGATTCTTCTCTCTCGATTCCTCTCTTCTAGCATATGAGTTTCTTTCAGCATAATTTCCAAGCTTCTCTATTCCTATAAGTAATGAAATCTGTTTCAAAACAAGACAAATTATTTTTAGGACCTAGGGCCATGGCTCCGTTCTAATATCACAAACTGTAGAGCCAGACTATTGCGATGATTTACTTGAGGCACAGTTTTCTAAATAAATGCACTTTAAGTGGCTGGTCCCAGAGTAGCAGGCAGGTGAAGCACATGCTGAAGGGCTGTGTTGGATGGTGGCACCACCTGTACACGCACTGAAGTCTTAAAAGTTTAAGTTACAAGATTATTCCCAGAATTGTTTTGATTCAGTAACATTTAATTTTTTATTAATATTGGTTATATTTGAAGTGTACTGCACCTATTCACAAATGCTTTTGAAGGATGATCAGAGAAATAAAATATTAAGTTAGAAATTCACACTCATTCCATATCTGTGAAATACAGCCTTTAAATACAATTCAATTTACATTAATTGTAGGGACAGGGCGAACATAGAAAGTAGAAGGGAAATGCTATTCAACACTGGAAAACACAGCTACTGTTGTAAATGAAAAAATGCTTTATTAAATGAATACTGGGAGTAAAATGCATTATAAAAGTAAAAAAGTAAATTCTAAATATAAATAATAGTGATTTACCTAATTAAGTTTCTTCCCCCTCATTCAAAACTTTAAATACAATCTTCTGAAAAGCTGGATTTTAAAGTATGTGGTTCCCTTTAAGATAAACATGTAGCACTATAGTATCTGCAACTTGGCAAAGATCATCTTGTTTTATTAGGCTGAAAATAGTGTTAATTTAAGTGATTGTTCATCATAACATTTAAAAAAGTCTAGAACAGTAATTTAAAAATGAATAAGCACATTAGTTTATTATATTTATTTCTGCCTCTAAAGATAATAAACATTTCTAATATACTTTATGGAAAATGTTTCTAGCCAGAGTACCCATGCATTCTGACAAAGACTTAAAATCTGGGTACTTTGATAAATAGTCTCCTTTTAAGAACAAAGGTTAACAGCCAGTGGATGTGTGGATCTGTCAAAAGAATTTTAAACAACCCTAACTTAATCTGCACTAAGACACTGGTAAACTTTTAGATAATAATGGAAAAAAAACAGAGACTGTTATTCCGTTTCCCCAGTAAGGTTCTCTCAGGATTTATAAAGCTTATGTAGTTCAGTACACCAGCTGGGATTTCAAAATGCTAGCACTGTAATTCATATTAACAGCAATATGCAAAACAATAGAAATAGAGAATCAATGAGTAACTTTATACTATAAAAATGAAACAAGGCACTTCCAATAAATATACAGAGTTGAAAGAAGCATAAGCATTTTTTTTTGTGTGAAGTTGACTCACCCTCAGAGATGTTTGTAAAAAGTGAAATAGTGAAGGCACTACATAATTCTTCCAGTTCATTACCCTTACTAAAGAAATTCACCAATTAAACTTGGCACAAAGTAGTTTAATTATAAAGTGCATCACTTGGCTAAATATATTAAAAAGAAAATCAGCCATACTGCATATAACAACATTTTCATTTGTACAGAAATAAAAATGCAATGCCAACTGTTGAACTAGTTAGTTTATATATGGCTTCTTATGTGTTTTAACTTCTTTAGAATCTAATTTTCAAAAGAATATGCCTTGATTAGCAAAAAGAGGTAGTCTTCTGAAAGAGGCAAACTCAAGTGAATTTACAGGTAGAAATTTAAAATGAAGATTATGTCGGAAATAACAAGCTATAATAGTAATAAACTAGGATACTTCCAGTATCTTGGTATTATGAATTATGGCTTCTTATGTGTTTTAACTTCTTTAGAATCTAATTTTCAAAAGAATATGCCTTGATTAGCAAAAAGAGGTAGTCTTCTGAAAGAGGCAAACTCAAGTGAATTTACAGGTAGAAATTTAAAATGAAGATTATGTCGGAAATAACAAGCTATAATAGTAATAAACTAGGATACTTCCAGTATCTTGGTATTATGAATTGCATTTTAAAATCAAGGCTATTTCGCCTCTTTAGCTGTATAATGACAGATCTTTATAGTTTTTCTTTGGTACTAAAAATCATCTTATTCTTTTATATATTACTATTTTGAATAAGTCATTTTTGTTTAGGAGATGATAAACATTTCAAGATTTAATACTCATTTCATCTTTACTTTTACTACAATATTCACTGATTTAAACCATTAAGGAAAACATGTCACGTCAGTGGTACAAAGAAGTGTGAATCACGCAGATAGTACCATGCAATTAATTTCCACTGGACTAATATAACTGGCAATTTAAAACAGGTGCAAACACACACACAGGCACACAAACTAGTTGGAAGTAACATTATAGGGAAAACACCATAATAATTTCTGCACAGTACTCCAGAATGTGGGCATTGGTAACAGAATTCTAACGAGATTTTTTTTTTCAGTGTATTAAATACAAGGCTGAATAAAAGACAAAAGCAGCGGTGAATATATTTACGATTTCAATAACTTAAAAAATTTTATGTAAACGTTGTACATTTAAATTCTTGTTCTTTTCTGTAACTGTTTTAGTCTTTTTTTTCTTTTTTGGTACCAGGGAATGAACTTGGGACCTGTGCTTGTGAGGCAGGCAGCAGAACCACCGAGCCAAATCCCTGGCCCTCAGTCTTTTTATTTTAAATGGCATTTGCTGCTCACTCGATTCTCAACTTGCTGACGCGTCAAAGGGGAGGGAACCGCATGCATTGTGCTAGTCTCCTTCAGCACCATCTGCCACTTCCGCTACCTCCATTTCTGGTACAGCATTTTCAGGGTCGTTAAAATGGAAGTGTGGCTTATCATCAGCTCTGTAAAAAAGAGAAACACGTCAGTGAAAGAATGGATGCACGCCATTTCTCCGTTATTACTTCTGAAAATCTTCTACCTGTGGAAAGACTGCTTACATATTTAATATCCTGGTAATCAAATATTCTATCCGAAATTTAATATTTTTAAATTGTAGGTGTCAGGTAACACTTTTGGAGATTTTTTATAAACTCAGCTCTCCAAATTACCATTGACCAATAAAAAACCTAGTGTGCAGTTACCTTTACCAACATAAAACTGTTCTCATAATTATAGCTCAAACATCCCCACTAAAGTATTAACAATTACCCTGGAATGATATGCAATAAAAGTTCTATATGCCTTAAATACATTGTTTTCATCATTCCTATGAGATAGGATGGTTGCTATTATGGTATTTCACTTTTTGAGTGGAAAATGGGTGATACTGAGGAAGATTAAAGTAATTTGTTGAGATTTATAAAACTAAGAAGTTAACTTAGAGCCCAGTTAATCCAGACATTGCTTCAAAATTTACAGGCTGATGCCAAAGACACATTTTTAGAGAGAACTTAGCTTACAGTCCATTAGCTCAGCAGATTCATGATACAATAATACTGAGTCCATAAAAAATATACAGTATGAGAACAGTTTTCTTGCAACTATTTAAATGATCAGGCTACAATAAAGTTAACAGTATATTACCTAGATTCTTTGTCCAAGACATCTTGGTCAGTTTTGAGTGCAGAGCACTCTGCCCTTAGGATCTCTCCATTTTCTGTTTCGGATACATAAAGTGACTCTTGGGGTTCCAGAGACAATGTTCTAGAAGAATGTTTAAAAGCAAAATGTTATTTTCCATGAAGAAAATGGCTGTATGTTCACTTCTGTGAATACTTGGAATGTTTGTAATCTTCAGGTATTATGTCTAATGTAGTCACAGGGCTAATTGCTCCCCATGGGAGGCAACAGGGAAATTCATAGCTGTAGTTAATTAAAACTGAGTTTCAGCATCAGTTCAATACATGTTAATATAAAGATATACCAGAACTTTCACATATGAACAGCTGGCATATATGCCTAGAAATAAAAATGCCATTTAGATGTGTTACAATGATTGGTGTTTATGCTCAACCATACAAATGTTGATTTTCCTGATGTTTCCCAATCCTTCAAAAGAGCAACCTCCTAAATTAACTTTTTTTTTGGATCAGGGATCAAACTCGGGTCCTTGTGCTTGCAAGGCAGGTGACAGCACCACTGAGCTAAATCCCTGGCCCTTAAATAATTCTGTTTTTGTTTTTGTTTTTTTTTTCTTTTTATTGAGTTTATTGGTACATTCTAGGTATACAATACAGTTACATTCATTACTGGGATCTTGTACCTTTACATGACAGGTCTTGGTTCTCATTTTTCCCCTTGTCCCTGCCCTCCCTTCACCCCCTCTTCCCCTCCCCATTTACAAACACTTTATTTCCATTTTTTCATTTTCTCATATTTTTTTCTTTCCCCTTATTCCCTTTCCCCTACCCTTCCCACTCTCCCTATACCTTTAGCCCTTTTCTTCCTATTTCACATTGTTAATTACCCCATTAGGATCTTCTGTACTATTATATTGTTTTGATATTGGGGATCGAACTTGGGACCTTGCACTCGTGAGGCAGGTGGTGGCACCACTGAGCTCAATCCCAGGCAAAAGGACTCTTTTTTTTTTGTACCGGGAATTAAATTTGGGACTTTGCACTTGCAAGGTAGGCAGCAGCACCGCTGAGCTAGATTCCTGGCCTAAATTAAATCAAAAGACAGTTTTTCCAATTTACAAGGCCATGATTCTACAACTTTCAGATGGAGAAACACTGTAAATCATATTAAAATATGAAGAGCATTTAGTTCAGAGCATTGGGAATTGAATTAGTAAGACTACAAATACAAGCATCACAGCCTACCTGATTCTGTTCTCTAAAGTGTCTATGTGAAGTTGTTTTGCACTAAGCAGTTTCTTCAGGGATTCTATCTCTTTTTGTTTTTCAAGCAGTTCTCTCTGTAAATGGTAGTTTGTCTCTTCTAAAGTTTCACAGAAAGCCTTTAAAACACACGAGTAGAATAAAATTACTGATGTAGTGTCTTTCTGAAGAGCATTATTGAGGAATCAAGGAACATAGATAAAATAATACACATAAAATCAAAATGACTTGTTCACTATATTCATGTGTTAGATCACTGCTATCTTGGCATTTTAGTCCCTACGCACCAAAGGGACTTATAATTACAAACCCTTTTTCTTGATAATTATTATTATAGTAGTAAGCCTGGAGTGAGCCTGGAAGTAGATACATATTATAGACATAGTAAGATTGTAAAAATTTATGCGAGTACACGATGAACTACTTTCCATAAATGTATTTTAAAATATAGACAGTACTATCAATTTCAGAAAGATATAAATTATCAAAATTGATCTCTCCCAAAATATAATCTGAATGAAATGTCATCATTAAAGAAACAAAGCTGGGTGTGGCGGCACGTCTGTAATCCCAGAACTCGGGAGGAAGAGGCAGGATTACCATGAGTTTGAGGCCAGACCAGGCTACATACCGAATTTAAGGCCAGCCTGAACTACATAGCAAGACCTTATCTCAAAACACCCTCCCCGCAAAAAAGAAAGAAAGAAAGAAAGAAAGAAAGAAATATGAATAGGTATTAAAAGATCTAAAAACTGAAAACTAAAAGAAACACCAGCCTCGGAATTCTAGGGAACACTCAAGATCAAACAATATTTCTGTAATCTTACTCAAACAGTTCTGGAGAACAAAAACTTAGAAAATTAGTATATATTGATAGAAATTTCAATGATGGCAGTAATAGGAAAATTACAGACTCAAAAATTTTAAGTAAAATCACTATAATCCATATTCAGCAATTAAAAATATGTTGAATTTCTGAATTAAACTCACAAATGAATAATTTTTTATCATCTGAAAATCTGTGAAGGTCATTTACCACACTAATATCAAAGAAAAAGGCTTAGATGATCCTCTTTATGAATGGAAGCAAAAGCATTGGTAACAAAGCCATCACTTAGCAAACTAGAAACAGATGACTTCCGTAACCTAAAAACAAAGACAAGGATAATAAACAAACATAACTGACAACTACCAACAGCTTATAGATAACATCACATCTGACAGTGAAACACAGGATTATTTTCTTTAAAGTTAGGGAGAGAGGAAAAGGATGCCCACCACAATGGCTTTAATTTAACTCCAAAGAGCTGAGCTAGAACAGTAACACAGGAAAATGAAATGACAGATATTAAGGATCTGAAAGGAAAAAAAATGTAACGATCAATGCTATAAGGAATATGACTGAGTACAGAAAATCTAAAAGGGTCTACGAACTTATGGAGAGATTTCAGAAAGGCTGTGACATAGAAAAGTAAATACAGAAAATCAACACTGCAATAGCAATACCGTGGTACTGTGGTAAGCTTCTTCAATTCATTCAGGCACTGCCAAAACCGAGTATCAAATGGATTTTTTCCCAAAAGAAAATAATAGTTAGAAATAATTTGTGAAAGTTCTCAAAGGTGGACTTTCACATTTTACTGGGCTAATATAAAGGAGGTTGTTTTATAATATAGAACCTAAAGCTAAAGACAGAAAAGTTAATGGATTACATAACAATGTGATGAGGCATTTTCTCCTTCGGGGCGGTGTGATGACTCAGACAAGTTCTACCAAATGTGACAGGTCCACAGCAAGTGCTGAAGACTGAAACATTCGTTTCTTATCAAAATTCTACAGAAACTGTGCACGATGAGTTCTGAAGCCAATGAGTACTTATACATGACTGTAATTTAGAATTCTGAAGGTAAGGCAGAGAACCCTTTCTCTGCCAGACACTGAAATTTAAGAAGCTATAATAATTAGCAGTACGCTACTGGCTGGTGACAGAGCTGACTGACCACAAATAGTCACAAAAATGATTTATGATTGAGGAAGAGTTCCTAACTAGCAAAGGACGGATGAACATCTCAATCAATAAATGAGGTTGGGATGGATGGCCATCCACACAAAAAAGGCTAACTCAATTAAAGAACCTGATATGAAAAGCCAAAGTTTAAGCCAACAGAGAAACATTCAGAAGAATATCTTTATGTCCTGAGTTGAAGGCAGGAACAAAAAAAATCACAGAACACATGACAAAGTATGCAAACAGGAAACTTACAGGAGAGAAGTCCTAAAGAGCTACTTTCTACATCAGCTGAAACCTAATCATAAAAATTAGGTTAAAATTAAAAGGCCGACACTACTATTTGTAAAGATATGGAGCAATGGGAAAGTGTATTGTTGGTAAAAGTACAAACTAATCTATCAAGTTTTAGGAGTAATTTAAGCACATACTGTGAAGTTGAGGAAGATATTTAACCACCAAGTGATTCTACTCCTGAGTTGAACTGTTCAGCAACTATTTGCTAAATTGTAGGGTATATTTATATTTATGTCTTTTATAAATCCTTGGGTTTCTTCCAAGAGTAAAACCATCCTAAGTAAGTGATCTTAGGGAGATGTGTATGAGAGTAGGGCACTGTACTTTTAGAATAGTCTTAGTTTTTCTAACATGTTGATGGAAGCATTTAGCCTTAGTAATGAGACTATAAAAATGTTTTATATTCCTACTGTTAACATAGGAAAATCTATAATTATACAATTCCTCCTGCAATAAGAGTTCAAACAGTTTCATTGGTACTGTAAAATCTTCTACGAAATGATTCTAAAAAACAGCTTCATCATATAATTCAGATTGCATTAAGTATCTTTCTGAATTTCTCAAACTTAGAAACAAGAAAATTAAGTTCTTAACTTGTAAGTGTAGAATAGGAAGTTTAAGGATTCCTGCTTTACTTATCTGTACTCAAAGTTTCTTTAAAGTTAATTATAATTATAATCTATTCATTAATGCTAGATTAGTAAAATGTCATTTCTTTCAATTATATTGATACCAATAGTAGATCTGAATCTCTCCCCAAAAAGAAGGCAGACTAAATTTATGTCCTTTAAACTCCTCTTTTAATACAGGTATATGAGGGTAAAGCAACAACTGCCTTCAACAGGGTGCTGTGAGAAGTAGGTTAAAGACAGATTTACTCGATTTTTAAAATTTCATTATCCTTTGAATAAGTTTAATTTTATACTCTAAGGAATATGTATTAATAAGTTATTCTGGAATTTTTCTTAAAATGAGAGTGTGCTTAAGAAAATCTCATACATATAGATCCATATCTTACATGGCCATTTTATGTTTTATTTTAAAGAAGAGATAGCACCGAATTTACTCAAATTTATTGTTGAAATGAACATTTATTTTCAAGTACGGTCTTGGAAAATGCTGAGGAAGATTCAGGGAGATACAGCTTTGATGATTACTTAAATCAGTTATTCCAACTGGGGTTAATTTAAACTCACAGAACACTTGGATATGAACTTTTCCCTCTTCCAAAGACTTACCCAGCCCCAAAAGTCCTATAGTATGGAGGGGTTGAGAACTCTAGCTCAAGTCAACTTCCATGCTTTCCCATCTAGTCATAATGCCTGCCTTGCACTAGGTAGTGTATATTTGAACTAAATGATACTAAAAATATAATCAGTTCTTAAGAAGGGTAAATGTAAGAATTTGTTGCAGGAAGAAAGAATACTATATTTAAAGGAAAACATGGGATATAGGAAGTAGAAAAGGAATGATAAGTAATTATTTTCTTTATCCCAATGTATACTTAACAAAATATATTACCTAAAATGTCCGGTATTCAATAAAAAATTACGGGACATGAAACAAGGTAAATGTAAGCATACTCAGGAAGAAAAGCAGTTAATAGAGGTTATCTCGAAATTTCCTCTATCAGTATATTGGACAATGATTTTTAAAGCAGGTGTTATATATACTAAATGAGCTAAACATAATAGTATTAGAGACTTTTTTATTTTTTTGGTAGGTACCAGGGACCAAACGCAGGACCTCACACCTGCCAGGCAGGTGGTGTGCTGCTGAGCTACATTCTGACCTGCATTAGAGACTTACTTTTATCACCCAACAGAGACGCTCAATATAGAAAAAGAATGACAAAAACAAGCAAATGTAAAGCCTAGACTTGAAATAACTGAAATGAAAAATTAACAAGAGGGGCTCAACAGCAGATCTGACACAACACAAAAATAATTTAAGAACTTGAAGATAGATTAACAGAAATGACCTAATCTCCAGAACAGAGGAAAAAAATGAAGACAGATGAGCATCACTTCAGAGATATGTGGCGCAACAGGAAGCACACAAATTTCCAAGTAACGGGAGTCCCAAAAATGGTGAGAGAATGGGACTGAAAAAATATTGCAAGAAATAATGGCCAACAAATTTCCAAGTCTGATATAGGCTAGTAATCCACCAGGTCCAAAGCACTCAAAAGCCAAAGTATGATAAATATAAAGAGATCTAAACCTTGATACAGAATAATCCAATTGTTGAAAGTCAAAGGCAGAGAACATCTTGAAAGAAGCAAGGGCAAATGACTCATGGAAGCAACAACATAATTAAAGATTTACTTTTCACCAGAACCAATTGATGCCAGAAAGCAGTGCGATGACACACTCAAAGTGCTGGAAGGAAATCCTGTCAGTGGAGCTATAAATCAGAAATGAAGGTGGATGATGTCAAGTTGAAACTGAAACAATCCTGTACTACTAGTGGGAATGTAACATGGTATAGCCACTTTAGAAAACAGTTTATCAATTTTTTAAAAAGTCTAGCAGAAACTTGCTATATGATTAAACAATTGCTCTCCTAGGGATCAACCCAAGAAAAACGAGAACATATATACACAATGTGTTCTATGAAATTGTTCATAATATTATTCATAACAGTACAAAACTAGAAATAATGCAACTTTCTCAACTGGTAATTAGATAAAGAAAATGTGGTACATTTACATGCATACAGGGAAAACCATTTAGTAATTAAAAATAATGAAATAGCAATAAAGGCTATAAATACCCTCAATGAATGATGCTAGATGAAAAAGATTATAAATACTATATAGTAGTTTTATATCTTTAAATATCCACACATAGACATATATAACCCTATGCATATGTAATACTTAGAAAAGACAAATTAGAAAGTGAAAAATTAGTGGGCTGGGAGTGCAGACTGATTGCAAAATGGCTTACAGAAATTTTTGGTTTTGAGGTGATGAGAATACTCTAAAATGGGATTATGATGATGGGAGTACAACCTATAAATTTACTAAAGTATACATTTACAATGGAATAATGAATAGTTTTATGGAGATGTTACTTCAATAAGGCTGTTTTTTAAAAAAAATTAGAGTATTCATGTCAGTGCAAAGAACTGCCTCAGTTTAACTGAAAAGCACGGTAAACCCTCCAGGTATATTTTTAACCATATAAATACCATTTGGGGGAGAACTTGCATGAAACCCAAGCTAATCTAATATTACCCAATCTGTTTGTGAATCTAGCCCTTTGCTTCAAGAAATAGGTCACTTTATCACATCAATTAATGTAATTTGAGTAGCATAAAGTTTGAGCTGAATTGGTAATAGAAAATCACTTCTTCTTCTGAGGAAAAGTTTTATGTTTGGTTTTAATTGTAGGTTCCTGGATACTCAGATGGAAGAAAACGCAACAAAGAAATACTACTATTAAGTGACATAAAACTAAACTCGAGAATAATTTTTTTTTTTTTTTTTTTTGATACCGGGGATTGAACTCGGGTTCTTGCGCTTGCAAGGCAGGCCACCGAACCGCTGAGCAAAATCCCTGGCCCTCAGAATAATTTTTTTTGAAACAGTAAAAAAACAAAGGCTAATTTTAGATCTTCCCTGATCACATGGCATGTGTAACTTCAACATATTTCAATGAAAGAAACCATTGCCTGAAATATTAAAAGCTTTCTGTAAAAAACTACTGTAGTCTGAAATAATATTTTGCTGTGTGCTAATCCATTTGAGGAACAATAATATTTTGCTGTGTGCTAATCCATTTGAGGAACAATATAGTTATTGCCCTGTATTACTTGTTCCTCTTTCATGTGATATATAACACAGCACTTACCCTGCTTTCTTCTAGGCTATCGAATGGACCTGGTGGATCATCCAGACAAAGAAATTCTCTCACTGCAAGGCTTTTCAAAGTTAAAAAAAAAATTAGTGTGGGTACAAATAACAAATATTAAACTATAGAAGATGCAAAGATCTTCAAGACATTTTCTAAAGTCGTATGAAAATAAATAAAAAGCATAAATTTATTATTTCATACTAACCAGAGACATAAAATACAATTCAGAACAGTGGTACAAGGGACCAACTTAAGTGGTGAATAGTTTCTTTATGATGTTCAAAGAAATATTAGTCTCAGCTAGTCTACCAAAGTCATTATCCTGTTAGGAACAAGTATAACATTCAATTCATATCCCATTTGTTTTTGGTGGATGCTTCAAAAGTAATTGAAAAGTATTTACTCTAAAGCAATTTAAAGATTTTCCTTGCTATTTTACTTAAATATTTTTAAAGTAAATAATAATTTAAGAAAACAAAATTTACCTAAATATTTCCCAGATAGTTTAAGAGAAAAAAATTGTGAACCAAAAAAAAAAAAAAAATCTGACTTATCAATCACCAAAAATTTAAAAATAATAAAATAAGGTCATTCTTATGTTCATAATTTGCAGTCCAAAATAGGTTAGGAAGAAAGGTTAAGAAGGCAGAAAACCAAACAGCCTTATAACAAAAATAAGTTCCATTTCTAAATAGCAATCTGGGACTAAGAGACAACTTTACATGCATGTGAAAATGTAAATGTGGAACCCTTTTATTAATTTTTAAAGGGTCAAGAACATGATTGATGCACTTACTACATAAAAGAGATGACAACCTATGTTAGGGAATGAGCTTTTGGGTTCAGGCGGGGCCAGACAGGTTGATGATGACAGGGTGTCAGGAAGAGATGAATGGATTTTTACTGGAATAGTTCCAAAACGAAAACCAATATGAATTAATATAGAGAAGGAATGCTAAAAATAAACCAGAACATCCCCAAAGTAGAGTAAAGTTGTTAGAGTGGCATCCAGAAAAGCAAAGTTTGGCTTATAAAGTGTTAAAATAGGTATAACATGATACACATTCAGGAAAACTGAAAACACTTGAGTATTTATAATCATGGAGTAAGAGACGGAAGAGATCATAAACGTGATCTAGTTGAAACATCCACAGTGTGCTTTTTGTCCCATTTACAGGTTCAGCCAAGTGAATACTTAAGTACCGCCAGAGGTAACACAGAGTATCTTTGGTTTTTATATAAACCAGTCCATGTGTGAATAAATTCACATACTGCTAAACATATGTCAACAATGTTATCCTATTTCCTGTATCCTTGTATCTTTAAGAATCAATAGTAATACCTAACATTTTCAAAGTACACTGCACACTCAGGACTTTTACATACCTTATTTAATTTTCATAACAAACGTAGAGTTAGGATAGGAATTATATCTTCATTTTACAAATGATACCAAATTTCACAGAGGTAAAATAACTTGCTAAATGTCACAAAGAACAAGTGACATAACTAAACTTTAATCTGTCTTCTGAGTCTAAACATGTGATTTTTTTCTACCTTTAAATTTTTTATGTTTTGGTTCATTTATATTCTTTTCCTTGTAGGCCATTTCTCACTAAACACACTCAACTTGTCTATATACCTCTTTAATCATACATGGCCTTTAGGACACTGCAACTGGTTTAACAGCAGAGAGTAGACTAGGACTACCATATAGTCTTCTAGTATAGATATAATTGCATTCACCTATTATTTATACTGGAGTACCTACTATTAGATAAAAATGAGCCACAAGAAATGAATTAATCTTGGCTTTCAGGAAAAAAGTGTGGATGAAACACTAAAAGAACAGCATTTAAAATAGAAAGCAAAATGCTACGAAGAATATGGGAAGGTCTTGTTTAATACTTTCAGTATATAACATCCCAATGTGAAACATTTTCTTATAGTTTTATACCCAGATTTCCTCTACTTTAATGCCACTTTTTATGTTCTCCACTTATTGGACTATTGTAGCTAGGAAGGGAAAAGTGTGCAAAGGAGTGTATAACCTTTTTAATATCTTTAGTTTATAGCAGAAATTTAACCAAGATCAACAGTGACTTTGAATGAATTCCCTGCCGAAGGCATCTATTTTTTGAGTGGTTCTTCTACTTCATTTTCCTCTTTTTTTTTTTTTTTTTTTTTTTTTTTGTTTTTTTTTTTTTTTTTTTTTTTTTTTTTTTAAGATCTATGGCTCATGAGAGTTATTAAAATAAAATTTAGCACATTTGAGTTTTTTCCAATATATTAGTTCCCAGGTTATATTCCATGCCCTACTTTAAAAAATCTTCAGCTTAAGAACCAAATTTGAAAGTGGCTGCAAATTCATTTTATAGCACACTTTTTAGTGGTTACCTACATTTCTCCTGCTTCTACAGAACTCAGGCAGCAGAGAAGTCCATACTCTCTCTGTATTCCTATCCAAGGAGGACAGGCCAAACAAAAATTTCTGAGAAATGGCGGAGTCTGGAAAAACACAGAAAACCCAATATATTTCTCCCCCTAGGAGAGGCAGCCCTAACTGCTGCTTGTGAATCATTGACTAGAGAACTTTAATTAGCTTCAATAAATATTTATTGATGGTTTATGTGTGCCATGGTTCTGCTCAGTAATTTTCTATATATTATTAATGCATGATTTATAAACAGATTAAGTGAATTCTAATAATAAACAAACACTGAAAGGTCTACATTACTAAATTATATATGGTTTAAATGGAAATCATTTTTTAATGCCTCATTCTTTTTTCAAATTGTTCACTGAGAAGCTGAATATAGCCCCTAACCTCTGCATTTATTTGACTATAACAATGGATAACAAAAATGCCAGCATAGTATGTATTTCTTTTCTCAGATGAAAAATGCAACAATCTTGAATAAAAAAGGCAACGGAAGATTCTATATTATTCTATTCATTTTATTACTTGGAGTAACTCTCAGCATGTCTGAGAAAACTATTTTTTGAAATTGAGGTCAAACATTGACCTAAAATGCTCAAAGATAAATAAGAGTACAGATGGTCTATTTTAGTATTGTTTTTATTTTTATGGCAAAGTTGTACTATAATTTCAAATCCTTGCTTTTGAGAAAAAATATTCTTCGGAAAAATTGTAATTTCAAGCTATGATCCTAATAAACTAGTTCCATCTACTGAGCTTTCACTTTGCATTTTACTGTTTTTTTTCATAGATATGTATTTACACTTTGCAAAGTTTTTTAAAAAACCAGTAACTTAATGGCCAGGTGTATTTAGAAGTTTGTAGTTTAAAAGGAAAAAAAAAAAAAAAAA